GCCGGAAAGACCCTGCCACGTTCCCACCGCTCAGATCAAAGGCAAAGAGAATGTTTTCCTCACGCTGGAAGTTGGAGGTGTTGTTCCGGGGGTCAAGGGAGCAGATAGAAGCACCCACCTTTTGAGATGGGGATCTAGTAGGTGCCTTACTGTAGCACCCTGCTTTGGGGCGGGATATTAGGTGTATAATGGTAGCACCCCCGTGTGAGAGTGGGGTCCCACCAGAACGCTGCACGGGATCCGAGGAAAAACGGTTCCAGGTGCTGTGGCATCAGCCTGTGGAACTCCCTGCCACAGGACGTTGTTGGGGCCAAGAACTGAGCAAGAGTCAAAGAGGGAGAGGATGAGCCTCTGGACCCCAGAGGTGACAATTAGTGCTGGGAGGTAAAGTCTAGGGCAGGGGCCAGGCCCCTGTCTAGCAGGAATGAGGCAATCTTCGGGGGGGGGGGCTGTTTCCCCTACATCTGTCTGCTGCAGGGTTCTTACACCTCTCTCCAAAGCAGCTCCTGCTCCCCTGTTGGAGACGGGACAGCAGGGGAGTGAGAGGCAGCCCCTGCCCCACAGATAACAGACAAGACAGATGCAGGAAGGGATTCTCACCTCCCATTCCGCAGAGCGGGGAACTGAGGCACGAGATGGTGAAATGACTGAACCAAGGTCATTCAGGGACATGGTGGCAAAGCTGAGAGTTGGACCCAAGAGACCCGAGCGATGCCCTGCGGAATCCCAGTGAGCTCCCATAGGCCTGGGCCCTGGCTGAGCACTTGTGGGGGGCAGTCTGTTCATCCTGGGGGTGAGCAGATGCTCACCAGCTGCGCAAGCCCCTTTCCAGGCGAATGCCTAGAGATGGGCCAGAGGTGGGCCCCCAGTGGCCCTTAAGGGAGCGCTTGGGACACCCTGACCAAGCCTGGCCCTGCCATGTGCCACCAGCCTCTTAGAAACCCCACACCCACAGGGGGCTGGCAGGATGTGACGGCAAAGGGGGGCACCGAGAATACACCAAGGGGTGTGGGTTGGGGTGTGTTTGAGTGGGGGCTGCCAGCTGACCTAGCATGCTACACGCATGGGTGTGAGGAGGAATCAAGGTAGAGGCCGTGGCAGGTGCTTTGGGGTAGATTGGGGGGGGTGTCCCTGCCTCTCCAGCTCTGGGGTGGGGCAGGCCTGGGGGACGGCCACCCTTGATTTCCCAGCTTGGGGTGTTCTCAGAGTAGCCCCCTGCTGCGTGACGGCGCGAGGCAGCGTCAAAGCGGTTCCTTGGCAGCCGCTGGTCCCCGGGGCCCACGGAGCGTGCGGCGGGCGAGCTTCTGGGGGAACGGGAGGGAGATCAATGGGGCTGGCGTGAGTCACGGATGACACAGGCAGCTGCTGCGCCAGCTTCCCCCACACAGCAAAACTCACGCCCGACCCGCAGCCCCCCCCGCTCTGCCGCTGCCCCCCCCGACCCGCAGCCCCCCCCGCTCTGCCGCTGCCCCCCACTCCCGACCCGCAACCCCCCAGCGCTGCCGCTGCCCCCCACTCCCGACCCGCAGCACCCCCCGCTCTGCCGCTGCCCCCCCCGACCCGCAGCCCCCCACGCTGCCGCAGTCGCTGCCCCCACTCCCGACCCGCAGCCCCCCAGCGCTGCCGCTGCCCCCCCACTCCCGACCCCCAGCCCCCAGCGCTGCCGCTGCCGCTCCCCCCCCGACCCCCAGCCCCCCCGCTCTGCCGCTGCCCCCCCCGACCCGCAGCCCCCCCCGCTCTGCCGCAGTCCCCCCAGCGCTGCCCCCCACTCCCGACCCGCAGCCCCCCAGCGCTGCCGCTGCCCCCCCGACCCGCAGCCCCCCCCGCTCTGCCGCAGTCCCCCCAGCGCTGCCCCCCACTCCCGACCCGCAACCCCCTAGCGCTGCCGCTGCCCCCCACTCCCGACCCGCAGCCCCCCCAGCTCTACCGTCCCCCCCCCCACTCCAGACCCGCAGCCCCCTCTGCTGTGTCAGCCCTGGGCTCCCCCCAGCTGATGCCCCTGAGTCACCGCCACTAACCCAGCCCCGGCTGCCTGCAGACGCGCTGGGCGTGCCGGGGCCGGGAACAGCCTGTGCCGGGAGCTCCGGCCAGCGCGGGGGTGGGAGCAGCGCCCAGGGACGTGAGCAGGAACACACGGGCGGCAGCTGCACGCGCCCCTCCCCCGCATCCCCCCCGGCACCCCCCCACATCCGCCCTGTACACATCCCTCCCCCCTCAAACACCCCCCTGCAGCCACTCTCCCCCCATCCACCCCCCGTCCCCCCATACACCCTCCCCTGCCACCCCTCCGCCCTGTACACACCCCTCCCCCTCCAAACACCCCCCTGCAGCCACTCTCCCCCCATCCACCCCCCATCCCCCCATACACCCTCCCACTGCCACCCCTCCACCCTGTACACATCCCTCCCCCCTCAAACACCCCCCTGCAGCCACTCTCCCCCCATCCACCCCCTGTCCCCCCATACACCCTCCCACTGCCACCCCTCCACCCCGTACACATCCCTCCCCCCCTCAAACACCCCCTGCAGCCACTCTCCCCCCATCCATCCACCCCCGTCCCCCCATACACCCTCCCCCTGCCACCCCTCCACCCTGTACACACCCCCCCCCCCCCCCCCCCTCCACCCCTCCACACATCCCTCCCCCCTCAAACACCCCCCTGCAGCCACTCTCCCCCCCCCCCCATCCACCCTCCCCCATACACCCCCCCCCAGCAGCCACTCTCCCCCATCCACCCCACTGCACACCCTCCTGCATCCACCTGTCCTGTACACACACCCCAGCATCCACCTTCCCCCATACACCAATTCCATGCACCATTTTCCCCCCTGCATGCACTCCCCCCTGGTACAACTGCAACACCCCTCCCCCCACACCACTCCTGTGAGCACATTGCATCCCCCCATACACCCCCCCCCCCCCCCCCCCCCCCCCCCCCCCCCCCCCCCCCCCCCCCCCACCCCCCCCCCCTGTCCTGTCCAACACACTGCAACACCCCTCTGTGCACACTTCCCATACAAACCCATTTCCCATACACCCCCCCACCGCATGCTTCTCTCCCAGCACCCCCTCTGCAGACTGATGCCCACAGGGTACCCTCCCCTGCCCCCTCCCAGCCCCCCCTTGCTTTGACTCATTTTATGTCTGAGTGGCAGCCCCCCCCCCCAGCTGAGCAACTCAAGCAGGGCAGAATTCGCTGGGGGGGGGGGGGGGAGAAGAAGAGAAGGGCAGGCAGGCTCCCCCTCCCCCCTGCATGCCAGGCTGATGGTGCCAGACCAGACCTGGCCAAGGGATGGACCCCAACAGCCCCCAGGAGAAGGGTGTGGCCATGTGCACAGGGTGGCTGTGGGTGCAATCAGGTGTGTGGAGGGGGGGGGGAGAGGAGAGTGTGCAGCTGTGGGGGGTGCAGGGCACAAGAGGGGCTGTGTGCAAAGACCAGTGCTTAAGCCCAGGGCCATGGGCGGAGAGGTGCAGCGGCACCCGGGTGCACCCAGGGCTGCGTGCATGCCTGCATGGGGTGGCTGTGGACACAGCTGTGTGTGGTAATTCTGCACAGCCCTGTCCGGGCATGCAGGCTGCCAGGCCGCCTCCCAGCCCTCTGGCCCCAGGGGGAGCCCAGCCCTCGTCCTCAGGCCAAGACTGGAACCAGCCGAGCCCAGCCGGGGAACAGAGCAGGGGCCAGGAGGGCTGGGCCTGGCCTGCGGGAGGGAAGCAGGAGCACAGGGAGCTTGGCTAGCGTCTGGGAGCAGCTGGGGAACATGATGTCCCAGCCAGGAAAGCACACCCAGGTCAGCCTAACCCCTGCAGCACCCACCCCCATTCCCTCCCTCCCCATTAAGGCCAGCAGTGACCTACCCAGCCATCGCCCCTACACCCCCTGACCCCACTCTGAGCCACAATGTCCCCAGCTCCCTGGCCCCTCTACACAGACAGCTCAGCCCTTAGGAATAGCCCCCAGGGAGGCCAGCTCAGGGTGCAGGAAAAGGGGCCTTTCCCCTGCAAGGGGCCCTGGCTCCCCTCTGGCCTCAGGGCAGCTGCCAGGCCACACTCCCAGGGGCTGATGAAGTCACAGGCAGACCCCAGCTCACCTCCTCCAGGCCCAGCGCTGGCTGGTGTGGGAGGGGAAGGGACATGTCTGGCTCATGCACCGCTCCTGGCACACAGTGTCTGGGGCTGACCAGGGCAAGGTGCCCCCCATATTATGTACCAGGGCAGGCTGGAGCCCCCAGCACCAACTGTCAGAGGAAGGGGGTGTCAGGACTCCTGGGTGTGTCCCCCCCGGAGTAGTTAGAGCTCTCTGGGGCAGTAGCTGCAAGCCAGGCTCTTGGGGGGCAGGTAGCACCCCCTGCTGGCACAGCACCAGCCTGAATGATGACTGGGCATGGTGGGGGAGTGGCAGAAGCTGGACATGCCTGGAGAGCCCCCTCCTCCCCAAGCAGCAGGGGGCTGGCTTTAAGGGAAGGGGGGCAGATGAGCACACTGCTCATAGCAGGAGCTAGGCCCTGCCCCCACCCCCTCCAAGTCCGACACTCCTCAATGCCCCATCCAGCTGCCCCCCCCGCCCCCTGGGATCCCAGCCCCCTCAGAATCTGGCAACCCTGAGCCAGGACCCTCTGGGACCAGGAATCCCTGCTCCTTTCAGCCTGGGGGCAGCTGTGCTGTGAGTGGGGGAGGGAGAGAAGCCAAGAGCCCACAAGGGGTGTCCCCCAGCAGAGAACCCCAGGCCCTTCAGAGTCAGCTGCCCTAGTGGGGAGCCAGTTGATGTTCTAGGAGACCTGGATTCGCCTCCCCAGAGCTGGACGCACACCAGGGAGCTAGCTAGATGCAGCCAACAGCACCACCTAGTGGTGCAAAGTGCTACAGCACCCACTGGCACCAAGAGACACCTGGGGTCGATCAGAGGTTGACTGGATCCCCAGGGCTTGGATGGGACACCCCCCCCCCCCCCAGCAGGGTTGCCCCGACCCCCCCCCCCCATTCAGGATCAGAAACAAGCCAGCTCCTTTTCAAACAAACCCTTTTACTTTAGGTCACAAGCATCTTCTCGGATTCCCCCTGCCCCAAAATATCCCCATCCAATGGGTGGGGTGAGGCAGAGGGAGGGGCTCCTTCACAGTAGACCTGATTCTCAGTCAGCTGCTGCTGCCCCCTCCCCCCCCCCGGCTCAGTGCTGCTTGGCAAAGTAGTCCTTGCTGTCCTTCACTGTGGGCTTGATGGTGTCGCTCCCAGGTTGCCAGCCTGCTGGGCACACTGGAGAAAGTGGGGGAGGGGGGGTTAGGAGACCAGAGGCAGGAGCTTTGTATTCCCCCCGCCCCCTGCCCTTTGCAGATGGGGAAACTGAGGCAGAGTACAGAAAACCTGGGTTTGATGCCAAGTCCTAGGCTGGTGCTGTAACCACTAGGCAACCCTTCCCCTCCAGCTTGGAGGTCTGCCCAAGGCTGGATGGAGCAAGCACTGTAGGTCCATGCATGGGGCTCTACCCCACCTCTGCCTGGCATGGGGGTGGCCGTGTGCATGCGTCTCTAACCCTTCGAGAAAAACTTCCTAGTACAAGCAGAGTCTGCAGCCAGCTGGAAACAGCTGGGGTTGAGAGCCCCCTCACCACTTTGCCCCCCAGGAACAAACTCAGACCTGCTGTCCCACCCCCCCAGCTGTGGGGCACCCACCCCGTCTAGATACACTGCTGCAGTTGGGCCCTGCCTTCCCCCTAACCTGGGGTTGGCCTTTACCCTGCCCCCCCCCCCCCAACCAAGAGCTCCCCCCGCCAACCTGTGCAGAGGCTGGACCCAGCCTCACCTTCCCCATGCGTGTCCGTGTACTGGAACGCCTGCACCAGGCGCAGCACCTCTTCCACCGAGCGCCCCACCGGCAGGTCGTTGACTGTGATCTGGCGCAGGACACCCTTGCTGTCGATGATAAACAGGCCCCTGCGGGGGGAGGAGGGAGAGGGATCACACCCCAATGGGAACCAATGGGGGGTGCACCCCCCCCTGCCCCCAGCCCAGATAACATCCCAGATCTGTCACGGTGGGGATCCCAGGGGATCACGGAGCCTGCAGCCTTCCCCCCATGGGATGTGGGGCACCCCCACCCGGATGCTCAGAGCCAGCTGTTGCTTAGTGGAGACACCCAGAGATTCAGTGGGGTGGGGAGTACATCAGCTCCATAGATTGGAAATCTCTAGCCTCAGTCAGGGCAAGACTGGCTGTGGGGATACCAGAGTGACACCCTCAGCCTGGCATCCCATGGGGCTCCTTCCACCCCCCCCCATATACCCACCCTGGTGTTCCCCACACACTGCCCCAGCTCCCCAGTCAGCGTCCCGTTCACCAGATGCACCCACCCTTCACCAGCCATGGGGGTGGGGGTGTCGTTCGACATTAGCTGGCACTGCTGTGAAGTTAAGGGGCAGAACTCCAATGGGGCCCCAAAACTGCCACAGGGAGACCGGAGTGGGGACCTCAGCACAAGTGACCACCATTCCCCTTCCCCCCCACCCCCAGCCAGAGCAGACCCCAGAAGCTCACACACAAGGGCAGTCAGTCAACCCCCACACCTGTAGGTGATTCCCTCATCCTCCTTCAGCACCCCATAGTCCATGGCCATGCTGCGGGTGAGATCTGACAGCAGAGGGATCTTTATGGTGCCCAGCCCCCCCTCCTTCCGCGGGGTGTTGACCCTACAGGGAGACAAGGGGGTTAGTCTCATGCTGTGGTATGCCCCTAATCCCAGCCACAGGGACCCCACATCTAGATCCGTCCCCCCGGCACCACCTCCCGCCCAGGGAATGAGGCCACCTGGCCCTAGTGCATCAGGCCCTGTCTCCCACTCAGGGGGCCCATGGGGCAGACCCCAGCCTGCAGCAGCATGGCTCTCATCCTGGCTTGCAGCATCGGGGGCTGGGGGGCAGCTGGTCCAGCCAGACTCCCACAGAGCTGCTAGTGAGGGGGAGAATTTCCCCTCCTCCCACAAACCACCAGAAGACAGACACCCAGGTTAGACACTAAATCAGAGGATTGATACAGTGCTTAGACTGGGGGGGGCATGCTGATGAGAGCCCTATTCTGGAAGGGGGAAGAGAAGAACACCCCCACCCGAGAAGATCATGCCAGTTTAGCCATCCACTCCCCACCCCCCGTTACAGGCCTGTCTCTGGCTGGTCCCAGCCCCCAGTGGCTAGGGGTGATAAGGCTTCTCTCAGAGTGTGCCCAGATAAAGCCAGTAGGGGCCCACCCTGCCCCACCCCTCTGGGACAGCTGGTAATGTCTGCTGGATTCTAGCCCAGTGTCTTCCCCACAGCAAGGGAGGGATGGGCCCCACCCCTGCCCCCTATCTAACCAGGGAGCATGGGGCTTTTTGATAGCTTGTGAGGCATTGGAACTGGTCTGTGGGAGATTCCAACCCCTGGCACCCAGGGGCTCTGACCCCTCCCCTCCCTAAAGGCCTGGTACCAGGTCCAGATGGGTTAAGGGACTAGACAGGCAGGCTTCCCAGCCCCCCCTCCCCACACAGGTTTTGCTCCAGATCTCATGTACCGATTGCATTGGGGCATCTGGGGCAGAGCAAGCCAGCAGCACCAGACCTCTTGTGTTAGGGCTGGCAAGATCCTGACCTCACACCCATTACAAGTGGAGAGCAGAGGGGTGTCTAGGGGGCATTTTGGTCACTGGCCTGAGACACTGTCACATGCTGTGGGTCTCAGTCTCCTTCCAGGTGGAAACCATGGTTCCTGATGCATTAGCCTGGGTTGCAATCATAGCAATGTCTCATTCCCTGCCCCCCTGAGCCAGCTTCTCCCCACCCCACCCCTAGGGCCAGATCAGAGATGGGCCCCCCAACCCTGCCAGTCCCCACAGCCCAGGGCTGGATCGGAGCTGGCACCCCCTAGAGGGCGGCGAGACCTCACCCATGTCCCCCTCCTGCCCCCCGCCCCCGCCCGCACCAGGCCAGGTGGGTGAAGTGCGAGTCCACGGAGGCCCCCAGGACTTCGCAGTGCAGCTTGTGGAAAGCCTCGGCGTGCTCGCTGAAGGCGATGATCTCGGTGGGGCAGACGAAGGTGAAGTCCAGTGGGTAGAAGAACAGCACCACGTACTTGCCTGGGGGATGGGAGGGGGAGAGAACCAGTCAGCAGGGGGAGCTGCCATAGGATGGGGTGTCAAGAGGTGGAGCCATGGGCAGAGACCCAAGTCCCCCCCCAGACCCAGTTGCATGGCTGGAGGCCTTGCTTGCCAGCCAGCTGATCTGGTTACAGCGTCTCCCCCAGGAGGCACTGAGAATGACCCCCTCAAGCCCAGGCTCAGCCAATCACAAGCCAGCCGATTGGATTATACACAGGGTCCCCATTTATCTTTTAAAGAGACAGCACTGCACACTTGCCTGCCCAGAGGCAGGATGGTAAAACTGCAAGGTCCCCCTCTCTCCACAGGACCTTAATCCTGCCCCACAGGGGACCCCCCCCCCCACTTCCTTTAGGGCAGGGGTGGGCAAACTTTTTGGCCTAAGGGCCACATCTGGGTATGGAAATTGTATGGCAGGCCATGAAGGCTCACAAAATTGGGGTTGGGGTGTGGGAGAGGAGTGCGGGCTCTGGGGTGGGGCCAGAAATGAGGAGTTCAGGGTGTGGGGGGGAGGCTCCAGGCTGGGGCACAGGGTGAGGGGTTGGGGTGCAGGAGGGTGCTCTGGGCTGGGACTGAGGTGCTCAGAGGGGGATCAGGGCTAGGGCAGGGGGTTGGGGTGCAGGAGGGGGTCAGGGGTGCAGGCTCCAGGTGGCGCTTACCTCAAGTGGCTCCTGGAAGCTGTGGCATGTCCCCGCTGTGGCTCCTATGCGGAGGCGCGGCAGGCAGCTCTGCAGGCTGCCCCGTCCGCAGGCACCGCCTCTACAGCTCCCATTGACTGCAGTTCCTGGCCAATGGGAGCTGCAGAGCTGGCGCTTGGGGCAGGGGCAGCATATGGAGCCGGGGGGAATATGCTGATGCTTCCAGGAGTCACATGCAGCCACAGCACACGCAGAGTGGGGCAAGCCCCGGACCCTGCTCCCCAACGGGAGCTCAAGGGCTGGATTAAAATGTCTGAAGCGCTGGATGTGGCCGCCGGGCCAGGTTTGCCCACCCCTGCCCTAGAGGTGGTGACCCTGTTCCCCATGCAGGCAGACACCCCTGTAGAGTGCCCCCAGTATTCCCAGCATTCGCTCATGCACAGAACATCCAGCTAATCCAGTACCAGCAGGGGGCGCTGCGGGGAGCAGGGCAGGAGCACTGGCTATGGGGGGAGCTCCCAGCAGCCCTAATCCCAGTGTCTGGGGAAGCTGTAAAGACCTCCCTATTAGCACAGGCTCAGAGCAGAGCCGTCAGCAGGTTCCTCTCACCTCTGTAGTCGGAGAGTTTGATCTCTTTGAAGGCTCCGTCCACCACGGCCATAGCGTGGAAGCCTGGGGCTGGCTTGCCGATGTGAGCGTTACCAGAAGCCATGTCCTGCAAGAGAAGCTGGGGCTCAGGACAGGTGGCACTGGTTAGCGGGTCTGGCCAGCAACTGTGAGGAGTTTCTCCCGTTCTCTGCAGGAAGCAACACTGCACGGGGGCAGCTTGGAGATGGACCAGATGAGCTGGCAGGGGGGCCCTGACTTCCAGGAGGTCTCACTGCACCAGCACCTGGATTTCTGAGACGATACCAGCTCCCAGACCAGACCCAATCTCAACTCCCCCTTCCAGCCCACCCCAATCATCTCCTTCCCAGCGCTGGTCTGCGTGAGCAGACAATCCCAGCTCCGAGCCCCCAGTCACAGGAGCATCACTCACATCTCACAGCTCAGAGCACACTAGCTATTCTGGGTTGGCACTGGGAATGCTAGACCCAGCGGGCACCCCACTCCCCAGCACAGGTACAACCCAGGGACTGCCAAGCTAATGCAGGCTAGAGAGATCTTTGGGGGAGGGCAAAAGGCTGGCGGCATCTCCTCCCCATGTGCAGCCAGGCACAGCTGTGCTAGTGTGAACCCACCCAGCCCACCAATCAATCACAATTAACCAGCTCACCCCTCTTACAGCTTGCATACAGGAGGCTATTTTGCACACACAAAGCACTTTTCATTCCCAAAATCGTGCAAACCAACAACACTAATCGGTGATTCCACAAACTGGGTCAGTGCAAAGCTGGGGATAGGGAACCCAAGAGTTCCGACTCCTAGCCCCCTAAGCACTAGACCCCTCTCCCTTCCCACAGCTGGGGACAGAACCTAGGAGTCCTGCCTCCCAGCACCCCACACTGACAGCATTAAAAGTAACAGTCCTGCTCTCAATCTATTCTATCTGAAAGTGCAAGGAAAGGACCCCTAAAGCTCCAATTATTTGGAGCAGACCTTGTCTCATTTCGGCTCAGAGACCTGAAAAACGTATGGCTTCGCTGTGAGATGAGGCCGGCTAAGCCGGCGGGGAAGAGATACGGGAAGAATTTTATTGGGGTTTTCTTCTGTGGCTGTACCTCACCAAGCCTGGGGGGGCCCCCGCTCGCTACCATGACAGACCAACAGATACCACAAGCAAGAGTGCGGAGCCGTTGCAGGACATGCAACTCTGCTGGGGGGGTTTCTTCAGATAAGAACCGCCCTACTCGGGGTGGGCAGAATGGCCCCAAAGGATACCAAGCAATAGGGAGTTCCCCCAGTGACACTAGGGCAAAAAGCACTCTCTCCCCCTGCATTGTGAGCCGCCACCCCAGAGGCAGCCCCACTGCAAGGCAGTTGGCACGGCATCCGGGATTTGCCATCATGGGGCAAGCTCGCGGTCAGCACAAGAGTCTTTAGAGCTGAAGGCAGGTTGTGGTCTAAAGACCTGGGTTCTGTCCCCGACTGGCCTGGTGAGTTACCTTGGGCAAGTCACTTTCAGCTTCATGCCTTGGTTTCCCCTCCTGCCCTTTGTCCTGTAAGCTCCTCAGGGCAGGGACCGCTTCTCACTCGGTGTCTGTGGCGCACCGGACACAACAGGATCTTAAAGCCACCTTAGCAGAAGAAGCAGGGGCCACCTCCCAGAAAAGGGGCATATAAAAATAACAGGCCTCCAGCTGCCATTTTCACTAGCCACCTGAAGTCGCTCGGTTCCCTGCCCCCTTAGAAGCTTCGCCTAACTGTCCAGAAGCAGGACACAGGGGAAACTCACTGGACAAAACCCAAGCACGAATTAAGACCCACAAGCCAAGTCACCTCTGGCGAGTCCTTAACGGCACAATGCAAAGGTGAAATGCTCCCACCGCAGGGAGGCGGCGGTTCACGCACCAGGACAGCAGGGAATTAGACAGCAGCCTAGAATTCACCCAGCTAGGGCCCCACTGATGGATCAGCCCCTCTTCCAGCCCCCCCAATTGTTTCGGGGGGGGGGGAACAGAGATACTCTGCCATAGTTTCTTCCCTGTGCAGCCACTTGAGAAACTTGCACAATCCCCAGCTCTCCCGTGTCAACCCACCAGCACCACCCAGGAAAACCCTGATGCACCCTTACAGCGGTTGGCACCTGCTGGAAGAAGCGAGGAGCTGGTACGTAAGTGAGGGCAAGAGAGGGGCCCAGGGCGATTCAGGATCCACGCCCCCGCCCCCCCGCAGTTGCTTTCGAAGCCGGGAGCCGCCAGGGCACGCGAGACAGTGCTGCAGCCTAGGTCAGGGCTTTCCAAAAATAGCAGCAGAGACCGGGGGGGGGGGGATGAGGAGGACGAAAGGCCCCTTTAGCATTGCCAGGCCCTGGCTGGAAACAATACCCCGCCTGGCTCCTCCTGCGGGATTTGCACGAGGGCTACAGGAACCCAGAGCCGACATCTACCGCTGAAGGCAGCGATTCCAGGGGGGGCCCAGTCACCCTCCCCACTCCGAGCAGCCACTTTGCAAAAGAGACGCTCCCTCCTGCATGTGGCTGCTCCAGGCCCGGGGGCTGGAAAAGCCCCCCGCTCCAGGGCCCACAAAAGCAAACCCGGCCTGCAATGCACAACCAGGAGCGTGCAACACAAAAGCACCCACCTCGTCGCTGCACCCTACCACAGCAAAGACACCCTCGACCTCCGCGGCGCGTGCACAGCTCGCAGCCAGCCTGCAGCCGGGTCTTATAGCCACCCCCTCCACGCCCCCGTCCGGGCTGGGCTGCTCCATTTGGAGCAGAGAGAGGGGGGAGGTGAAGACGAGAGAGATAAAGCCAGGGGTGGGGCAGGGTTTAGACCTCCAAGGGGACTCCCCGCATTGCACGTGGAGGGCGAGGTTCGGGGGGGCCCCCTAGCATTGCACAGAGGTGAGCGGGGTTATGGGCTCTCTCTGCCTTGCACAGAGGGGGGACAGGGCCATGTATGGGGACCCCTGCGTTGCAGACGGGGGCGGGGCTATGGGCCCCCCCAGCATTGCACATAGGGGGGTGGGGCTAACCCTCCCGTGCTCCCCGTTACAATGCAGGCCAGGTGGGGTTGCAATGCTGCCCTGGAGGAACCCCACAGCCCAGGAGGGGGAGGCTCCCTAGGGGTCTGGGGCCAAGCTTTGGACCGAGCTGGGTTTATTTATTTATCACTCATGACTCTGCTGAGTCCGTTTGTTTATGGGGAATTTCACCCCAGCCCCTGTGCCTCAGTTTCCCCACTGGTGCAATGATCCCAAGCCTCTGAGACTTCCAGAGGGTCGGCGGAGCTGGGGAATTAGAGCATAATTGTTAGGACTGTTCCCTAGGGTTTGTTTATGGCTTTATGAATGGCCTTGTGATGCACAGGATTTTACCCACGTACATGCCCCTGAGCCCACAGAACCCCCACCAAACACATGATCCCCCTAAGTTACCACCACATACAGCCCCCCACCTTCACTCCTAAATGCTACCCCGTGCCACGCACAACCACAGGTTGGGGATGTGGGAAGCAGAGGGACATGGATAGGGCCTTTCCCCTCCAAGGGACATGAGCTCTGATCCAATCCCAGGGACTTCAGAGCCCGGCTCTTAGAGACTCCTAATGGGATCTGTGGAGCTCGGGGAGGGGTCCCAAGTTGGGCCCCACAATCAGTGGCTGCTCTTAGAAAGTAGCGATGAATGACTAATTCCAAGCTAATGCAATGAATCCGGTGTAAATGGACCCAGGAGTCCTGACACACACACAAGGCAGGGGCAGAACCCAGGAGTCCTGCCCCCCACCCACCAACCTCTTCCTGCTCTAACCACTGGACCCCATTCCCTCCTAGAGCTGGGATAGAACCCAGGAGACCTCACCTCTGACCCCCCCCAACCCCAGAGCTCAAGCATGGGGCTGCCCCTCCCCTAGAACTACAACTCCCAGGTGTCTGTGCGAGGCCGGCCCCGCCCCCTGGGCCGGGCTCGGGGCCTCGCGCTCGCCCGCGCGCGGAACATGGAGCTGGGGGAATTCGAGCGGGACAACGCGGGCAGCTGCCGCCTGGGCTCCCCCGTGCCCGAGCTGTGCCGGGCCGGGCCCTGCTGCCTGGGCATCGATGAGGCCGGCAGGGGGCCCGTGCTGGGTACGGGGGGGGTCCCCCAGCATTGCAAGGGGAGACCCCCCAGCATTGCACAGAGCAGGGACCCCCCCAGCGTTGCTTAGGGGTGGGGATAGGGGGCCCCCCATACTGAATGATAGGGGCGGGGCCCTCCCTGTCTGTGCTCCTGAAGGGGGAGCCCCTGGTACAGTGAGGAGGGGGTGATGGGTGGGGGAGCACAAGGCATCTCACAGGATTCCCCCCCACACACACACACACAACTCCCTGCCAGGGAGGTGGGTCCACCCGCCCTGGGGGAGAAGAGCTTGGAGCCCTGTAGCTGGCAGGGGGGTTAGACGGGCCCTGCCCAGTTACCCCTCTCCACATAGTGCGGGCAGGGCTGATTTCCCCGCCCCCCGGTGCTGTGGGTGGGAGTTGCGGAGTAGGAGGCTCTTGCACCAGCTGGATCGGGCTCGGCTGCCCCCCCATCTGTGCCCTTGCCCCCCGCCATATGTGCCTCTGTCTCCCCGTCCAGGTCCCATGGTCTATGGTGTTTGCTACTGCCCGCTGGCAAAGCAGGAGGAGCTGGGAGCTCTGAAGATGGCCGGTAAGGACAAGGGCATCGTGGGGGTGGGGGGCTCAACTTCCACCCGGGCCTCCTGTGATTTCCCCCCCGCCAGAGAAGGGGCCCAGGGATCTCAGTGAGGGGGGTCAGGGGGTGGAATTCCAGAGTTCTGGGACTGACAGAGCAACTGCAGAGAGATGGGGGGGTCAGGAGAACTGAGGCTTGGGGAATGGGGGAGGCAGGGGGGATATGGATCTCCGTGGGGGGAGCAAAGTGGGGACAGGGGATGGGGACAGCAGTGGGGAAGGGCCCCACAGAGGGAATGCTGGATCATGAGGGGCCCCCCCCCCCAAGATCTCGAGGAAGGCCGAGGCTTCCTCTGGTGGCCAACCCTAGTGTCGTCCCCCCCCGGTCCGCCCCCCAGACTCGAAGACACTGACGGAGGCCGAGCGGGAGCAGCTGTTTGGGACACTGGACGGGGCCAGGGACTTCGTCGGCTGGGCCCTGCACATCCTCTCTCCCAACCTCATCTCCACCAGCATGCAGCAGCGGTGAGAGCCCCAGGGAACTCGATTCGCACGGGGGTCACAGGTGCCCCCTAGTGGGGAAAGGCCCTGTGTCCCATTTCCCCCCTGAGCCAGCCAGGCCCCCCAGCCTGGGGCCGAATCAGCCAGCGCTCCCTAGAGGGGAAAGGCTACGTGTCCCCCTTCCCCGCTCCTGTTAACCCTAGGAGCCAGATCGCTGGGTGGGTGAGGCAGCTGGAGAGTTTCTAGGGGGTTGCTCTGTGTCTGTGCAACGCCTAGCACAGTGGGGCCCAGGTCTCTGGCTGGTAAATACTAACCCCTCTCCTCTCCCGGCCAGGGCGAAATACAACCTCAATGCCCTGTCCCACGACACAGCCATCGGGCTGATACAGCACGTGCTGGACGCGGGAGTGCATGTGGCAGAGGTGAGCCGGCTGCAGTTTTCCCCCGCACCTCAGTTTCCCTGTGGGGCAGATTTCTGTCCACGGGGTGCCCCGATCACAGACTCAGCCAGGGTTGGCAAAGGGGACCACTGTGGGCATAGTGCTGACAGGCACCCTTGCTCCCCCCACTTCCAGCCAGCCTCCCTATGCCTCAGTTTCTCTATACGGCAACAGGGCAGCTGCCTCCCCATGTGGTGCCCTGATCCCAGCACAAGGTGTAGCGGGGGGGTGGGAAGGGATCTGACACCCCCACACACACACCTCTTGCGGGGTCCCCCCAACCCTGGCAGGTCTTCGTGGACACGGTGGGGCCGGCGGAGAAGTACCAGGAGAAGCTAAAACGGCATTTTCCGGAGCTCGAGGTGACTGTGAGGCCGAAGGCCGATTCCCTCTTCCCCATCGTCAGCGCAGCCAGCATCTGTGCCAAGGTGAGCCTCTGGGGTCCCCCCTCTTCAGGGGGCCTGGTGGGGAACAGGCTGGATCTTACTGTGTGCTTAGGAGTCACCAGGCTCCCTGGAGCAATGGACCAGGGCGGGTTTGTGGAATATGGAGACACCCCAGCTTCACTTACCGTCCTGTTATTGGGATCTCCTGGGTGAATTAATAAGGGGGTTCCATTGGGTGTCCCTCAATCGGCTCCACGCTAGCAGATTCATCCTCACTTCCTATCCCAAATGCTGCATGGCAGTTCGACAGCTCTTGCGCCCCTCCCCAGAGGCGGCTGCATCTCAGCCCCGGGCGACGGATCCCTGTCAAAACAGCCCAGCGCTAGGGGACCATGTTCCTAGAGGTGCCGCCCCGAGCCAACTCCTGTCTGTGTTGGCAGGTGGCGCGGGATCGTGCTGTGAAGAACTGGACGTTCCTGGAGGATCTGGGGGACGTGAGCGTGGAGTATGGGTCTGGGTACCCCAATGGTAAATGGACCCCCCCCCCGTGTAATTCTCAGGGGCAGTGATAGGTCTGACCACAACGTGGAGCTATTTGCATATATAGGAGCTGAAGATAAACCGAGGCTGCCCCATGGGCCCATCTAGCCCGGTATCCTGCCTTCCACCCGGTTCCTAGATTGCACCGGCTCCGTCTCTCACCCAGCTCCTACTGGCCAGCTGTGTTTGGTTTCACGCACCAGAGGGCGCATGTGACCTGGGATCTGCTCCCGTCTTTCACTGGATCCTCCCGCCCTGGCTCTTGCATTGCCTAGGGGTGGGGGCTGTGGTGCCAGGCTCCGAGCCCCCTCCCAGCCCTTGGGCTTCCTTTAACCCCCTCGGCTGCATCAGGCTGGATTTCTGATCTGCCTTCCAGAGACCGAGACGGAAGCTAAGTGACGTGCTGAGGGCATGGGGGATGGCAGTGGTGGAACTGGGGATAGAAGCCAGGAGTCCGGGCTCCCAGCCCCCCTGCTCTAACCACGAGACTTCCCCACCCTCCCAGAGCCAGGGATAGAACCCAGGAGTCCTGACTGGTTTGAAAGCTGGCAGGTACCCCCGTTTGCAGTCAGGGAGGTGGGGCTGGTGCATTTAGCCCCCTCCCTGACTCTCATCTCTCCCCCATCCCTCCCCCCACTCCCTGGCCCCCAGATCCCAAGACCAAGGAGTGGCTGGCGCAGTGCCTGGACCCTGTGTTCGGGTACCCCCAGTTCGTGCGCTTCAGCTGGAGCACGGCCCAGACCATCCTGGAGAGCAAGGCAGTGCCCGTGCGCTGGTAGGTGAGGGGGGGCCGGGACAGGACTGAGGGTACCAATCTGTTAGATCCCTGCAAGGGGCCTGACCTCAGTCTGACCCCCACTTGGCATTGATGGGCTCGAACAAGCTCCCGCGGGCGCCGTCCATAGCGGCTCAGAGGAGCCGGCTCTGATGCCAAGCGACAGCCCTGCCACCCCCAATTATGCCCCGGCTGCCACCAGGGCCCTGCTGGGGGGAAGGGCAGCACCGCATGCTGCTAACGGGGCCCTTCTGCTGACCTCCCCCCTGGCATGCGTGGAGGGTGCTGGGCGCAGCTCCCCTCCCCCTCTGGGGTCCCCTCGCCACCCACCGGCTCGTCCTGCACCCATGTGTGGGATTGGGGAGCCCAGGGGGGCTGTACTGAGAGCAGCATGGTTCAGTGCCTCCCAGGCCTGGCCCCTCCCCTTCCCAGGTATGACCTTGGCAGCTGGGTGTGGATCCCTCCCGAGGGGA